ATTATCCTTAAATTTCTCTGTAATTTCTATAAAGGTACTTTGGTCATAAAACCAATTATATAATCTCATATAATTCTCAAAAGATATTATCCTTATTTTTCTTAATTTTCTAAGGCTTGGAAATATCTTTCCATAATTATATTTGACCAATTTTCCTTAATTAGTCAAACTTTCACATTTAACTTGGAAAATCATAATAAATATTTTCCAATAAAATTCTTCTATTCCTCCTTATCCTTTTTGGCCCTCAACTGTTCAAGAATATTCTTTATCCCTAATTGCTATGTTACTAGATGTGGCAGTCTCGATGTTATTTGGCTCGATTGAACTCTTTCTTGGAATTTGCTTTTGCCAATATAACTACTAACTGTAAGCTTCTTTGTCCATGTCCTAGATGCAATTTCACAAATGGCACACATGAAGTGTTTTTAGAGATCATTTAATTTTGAAGCCTTTCCCAAGAAATTATACATTTTGGTCTTTTCATTGTAAACAACATGAAATGATTGCTCAGTCAACTCTTACAATTTCCCATAGGGGAGTTGAAGCAGAGGAGTCTCATCCTATTAATGACACTATGCGTGATGCATTTGGGGTTCACAAACACATATCCACTAAAGAAGTACGAGGACCTGAACCGGAGTTCCTAAGGAATGAAGCTGCTCAAAGTTTTTTTGACCTCATGAATGAAACTGATAAGCCTTTGTATCATATGTGTACAAAGTACTCAAAGTTATCATTCTTGGTAAGGTCATATCATATAAGATGCTTGTGCAGTATCACAGACAAGGAAAAGTCAATGCTTTTGGAATTATTAACAGATACATTCCCCGATGCGGAATTCCCACTGTCCTTCTATGAAGCAAAAAATATGATTAACAAGCTTGGCTTGAACTACATGAAAATTGATGCATGCCCAAATAATTGTATGCTGCACTACAGAGATGATGTAAGAGAGGAGATTTGTAAAAGGTGCAAGACATCTAGGTATAAGCGCACACGAAAGGGAAAAAGACAAAAGAAGAAATCCGCAAAGACTCCAAGGTATTGTTTGCTTTAATGTTATTTTTTTAATGATTATTTCATTAACAAACTAATATATTTTTTTCATATTTTAATTCTTAGGTACTTTTCTTTGAAGCTGCGGTTACAAAAAATGTATATGCCATCAAAAATGGCTGAGCCTATGAGGTAGCATGATGTTGACAAAAATACAGATGGTAAGTTAAGACACCTAAGAGATTTCAAGGCATCAAAAGTGTTCAACTCTGAGTATCCAAATTTGCTGCCGATCTTAAAATGTCCAACTTGTATTGGCGATCGATGGTTTTAATTGCTTTGGTAACATGAGCACCAGTTACAGTATATGGCCTATGATGTTAATTTTGTACAATCTCCCATCTTAGATGTGCAAGAAATTGAGCTCTTTTTTTGCTTTCCATGATCATTCCTAGGAAGAAAGCACCTGCAAATGATAGAGATGTCTACCTACAATTGTTGATAAAAGAATTGATCAAGCTGTGGACTATAGTTGTGGAAACCTATGACCCATGGGAAAAAGCTTTTCAACCTTCGCCTAGCCTTGATGTGGATGATTAGTAATTTTCTCGAGTTAAGAACATTATCCAATTAGAACGTGCATATTGGGTTGGCTTGTCTTGAGTGCAACTTTGACTCCAAACCTATGCGCCTTCCACATAGTCATAAATGGTGCTTTATAGGGCAATGGCAGTTCCTCAATTCAAAACGCAGATTTAAATTGCAACAGAATCGCTTTAATGGTAAACAAGAAAAAAAGAGAACGTCCTCTTACTTTATCTGGTGTGGATATATTCTGACAGTAAGAAGGTGTTGATGTCGAGTTTGGCAAGATTGATGAAGTCGAACGAGCCAAATGATGTACTCATGGCACTATCTTTTTCATCCTTCCTTATTGGACATTTAATTTGATCCACCATAGTCTTGAAATCATGCAGATAAAAAAAAAAGTGCAATAATGTGTTGTACACATTGCTCAACGAACCCGAAAAGTCTAAAGACCACCTGTCAGTTAGAATTCATCTAGATGCTAGCCTGATGATAATGATAGGTTTCAACGAGCTAAATTTACCTTGACAAAGCAGAACAAGGATATTTTTCTATCAACATTAAAGAAAATAAATGTCCTTGATGGATATTCTAGCAACATCTCAAGAAGTATTGATCTACAAGCTCAAAAGGTTACTGGGTTAAAGAGTCATGACTCTCGTATTTTGATGTAACAATTAGTTCTTTTAGCACTCAGAAGTATACTCCCTCTTGATGTCTCTATGTTTTTGGTGGATCTGTGTTCATTTTTTAAAAAGTTATATGCGAAGGTTTTGATACCTAGCAAGCTAGATCAACTACAGAATAAAATTATTTTGACACTTTGTCATTTGAAGATGATATTTCCTCCCTCCTTTTTTTTTAATTTGCCAGCTAATATTTAAAAAGTGCCATATCATATTAAAATAACCTGAGATGTTCTTTTTTGATTGGTTAGACCATAGATTACATGGCACTCTAGGTTCACCTAAGAATCTCTTGAGAGAATGGGTGGTGAGGTTGAGGGAAATGATGACGTAGTGGTTGCCATGTGGTATTTTAAATTTACAAAATAAAAAAAATTTAGTGATGGAAATTAGTGACGGAAAATTTCCATCACTAATTTGTGACAAAATTTTCATTACAAATCTATCACTATTTTATGGTAGAATTTTCATGAGATATCCGTCTCTAATTAGTGACTGAAATTTTTTGTCACTAATTTTTATCACCAATCTGTTAGTAATCCATTGCTAATTAGTAAAGGAATGTTGTCACTAAATAATTAGTAATGGTGAAATTAGCGATAAAAAGAATTCTGTCCCTATTAATTCCATTTTTGTTGCTAATTCTATCGCTAATTGAATTCCATCAATATCCGTTGCTAATCAAATTTCATTACTAAATTTCGTTGCTAATTTTCTATTTTTTGTAGTGAAATCCAATATAATATCCTTCTTCCTCCCATCTGACATCCTCAAACACCTAAGATCACTAAAGTGACAATGGCATCACCTTACTCCTCTATGCCTAACCATGTTGGGCTTTAGGGCTTTCTGGGGTTCTAGCATATGTTCAATCTTATTTTCTATTTAAAGTCAAGTATTATATGTTCATTATTGATATTTTAATAAAGAACTATTCAGCATACTTGTTTTTTTTATTCTTGTGAGGATACTCTCTGACATGAGAGGCTGATCAACTCTTGTGTTGTTATACTCAACGTTCTTGAATTATTGTTTTATTTGGATGTTAGTTTTGTATGTTCAATGTTTTTTGGAATGCATGTTTCCTAGTGTCAAGATCAGTTCAGTTTTTTTCCTTAATCTCTCTATTTTATTTCATAATTTTTTCCATAACTCATTAATCAATTTATAATTTTTGATTTTTTTAAAGCAAGTTCCTATTGGCTCCATAAAACTTCTTTTAAGTGTGGGATTACGAGTTTAAATCTTTAGTAGAGGGTATCACGGGTATGTGAATTATGACCCAAAAAAAAAAGTTAAAATATTGCATATCTAATAATGATTGAATTATTGATTTCAAGTAATCGCATCACAAGCCAAGTGATGCTATAAATACTGGAGGCTTTGTAGCAAAATTTTTAAGCCGATGATTGCTACTGAACCACCACCTGGCACATCATAATAATGATCATATTAAAGGATTATTTTAGTAATGGATATTATTGAAATATACTTTTGAATTAACTTCCTTATCTTCTTCATTTGCGCAGCTAGACCATGGATCGGTGAATCCATTCACATGCATGCTTGATATTCAGATCTGTCTACCATCTGGCCTTGTTTCTTAATTTCAAATAATTAAATCGGGGACCGGGTCATGTTATAAATAATGCAACTTGCTTATTAGTCTTAAATGTAATATTTCAACCCATTTTATCTCTCATACCCATACTTCCCATTCTTTCCCTAGATTAACTCTTTTGATATTCTCCTAACAATAATTTAAATTTTGGCAAAAGAAAATAATTCAAATGCATCAATAGATCATGGCATCATGCAATCCCCATCCAAACTAATTTGATCTATCTTCCTCTGCTAATCTCACTATTTTTTTCCTTGGTTTGGAAAACATAAACTTCCTCTCCCGATCAGTCTATTTTTCCTGTTCATGTTCTATTTTTTCTTTTACCGGAGTAATTTAATTGCAATTTTTTTTAAAAAATACACAAATATTTGAGAAGATCAGGTCACATTTGTTAAAATTATTGATATTATTACTTTATCAGGGGAAAAATCACGCCATTATTCTTGTTAGCTATTTATAATTACTGAGGTCAACTTATATTGTTCAAAAAGGATCGGAATCACAAATAAACATTGGACTTGGAAAAGTCAAAGATAAGAATTGAAAGGACAAAACATTAAGAAGCTCCAAAGTTAAAGGTAAGAATCGATTGATAAGGAAATCAACTACACGTACGTTGATGATTGATGTCTCAGAGCGCCGATATTTTAATTAGTTGCTAAGTGATGCTATAAATAACGGAAATATGAAAGCTAAGTTCTTATAACGCCTATTATCTCTTGTTAACTAATCATTAGTGTTCCGATGGCTGCAATTATACCACTCCCTTCACAGAAAACCTATCAAATGTTGAGCTCGAGAACAAATCTGAAGAGGAAGAATATGAAAATTTTAGCCAAGAATGCAAGGGCCTGCTTCGTTCTCTTCCCAAAGAGAAGGGTTGGAGTGTCCCTTCCCATTTATCTCTGTCAAGGCATTTGGTTTTCACCTGCTCGTATCCAAGCGATACACACTTTTCAAAAGCAATTCCAAGCAAAAGATAGTGATATTGTTATAGCTTCCTTACCAAAATCTGGCACTACTTGGTTGAAAGCTCGTTTTGCCATAGTGAATCGTAATCGCTTCTCTCCTTCACCCAAAAAAAAAAAAAAAAACCTTTACTCATGTCCCATGCCCATGACCTTGTACCTTTCTTTGAATTCCATCTTTATGGAAAAGAGCAGATTCCGGATCTCTCTAACTTACCTGAACCAAGACTTTTTAGCACACACTTCTTGTTTCATTCATTGCCTGATTCAATTGCTAAGTCCAAATGCAAGATAATCTACATATGTCGTAACCCATTTGACAGTTGTGTCTCTGTGGTTTTTCATCAATGCAATTGCACCATCATCATTACCCAGATTATCTTGGAAGAAGCATTAGAGAGGTATTCCGAGGGAATCAATGAGTTTGGTCCATTTTGGACAAATATTTTGGGTTATTGGAGAGAAAGCATAGAGACACCAAACAAGGTTCTGTTTTTAAAGTACGGGGATTTGACAGGGGATGTCACGTTCTATTTGAAAAGAGTGGCTGAGTTCTTGAACTGCCCATTTAACTCGGAAGAGGAAGGCAATGGGGTTATTGAAAACATTATCGAGCTGTGCAGTTTTAAGAAGATGAAGGAATTGGATGTGAACAAGACTGGAAAAATGGTGGGCAAGTATGAAAACAAGGTCTTCTTTAGAAAAGGTGTAGCAGGTGATTGGGTTAATCATTTTAACCCTTGGATGGTAGAGAAATTGTCCAGTGTGATAGAAGAGAGGTGGGTCTGGTCTATCTTTTTGATTTCTCTCTCCAATACTTATATTTCAATAATGGCCTAAGCTTCTCGTCGGGTATTTTATGTGTACTTGGGGAGGGTTAGAGTTAAAGCACCTGAAGAGAAATATAATAAAGCCCATGAATAAATTGTGTTTCATATTGTTCTCTGGTGACGAGAACAAACATTTGATTGTTCTTGTACTTAAATCAATATTAATCTGTAAGAAAATTATTCCAATATTTTCTTGATTAAATCCACCTGTTAGAAAAGAAGATTTGCCCATTCCAACGCTTTCAGTCAATTCAGATTGCACAGCAAATTCAGACTTACTTGGATTAAGTAACGTTGGATGAGCCATCAACTTTTTTTCATAGGGAAAAAAAAAAGGAAAAGCCATAATTAGACCCGATGAGTTATAATATATGTAGAGGCCGATGATGACTATAATTTTTAATATTTCCTCATTTTATAGAAAGGTTACTTTATCTTCTTGCTCACATATCTATCCACTGCATTAAAGCGTTCACACAGTGATGGTGGTCATAGGGCCAATCAACCTCTCTCCGATTCTAAACAAAGTTACTTAAAGAGTTTTTTTTTGGTCCTATAAGAATTCAATCTATTTTGTCTCATGAATTACATGCAATTTTTTCATAAGCAATCTTATTGATTGTACTAAAGAGAGTTTTCGTTAATAAGAATGGTTTTTAATATTGTAAATGATTAAAGGAGATATTTTAGGAACACAACACACAAGCGCATACATTTATTACAAATAATTAACTTAGGATTTATACAATTTTTTATCTCTGTAATTTGTACCCATTTTGAGTTTGGTTTTTCAAATTTCAAATTCATGATTTTGGTCTCAAAAATATAATTCAATCTGTCTCAAAATATTAGTCCCTAAAAGTATAATGGCGTTAAAATATGTCAAAGTGTCATAAACAGCATTAAAATAATAATGTAGACTAACCAAATGGTATCAACTTGGATCGTATGTGCATAACACACAAAAAAGTCCTCAAAACACAGCGCACAAAACAATTATACAGAGGAAATGAGTTTTTAGAATGCAGTGCAATAATCACAGCTTCCAAAACCAACAAGGACCTGTTCTTTTTATTTCTATGCGCTAAAAGGGAAAAGAAGCTTTCACCACTGATATTCAGTATCAAATATCAGTTTTTTACGTCATCTTCACAACTGATTTTTCACCCAACTACTTCAGTTTCTGGGGTGGCTTAGACCTTCAACATGTGTTGGCGTTAAGGGGGATGACTTCGCTGACCCTCCTCTCCGTCCTAACCCCTTCCCCTTTTCTTTCCTCTTCAAATCAGCAGGTGTGTTTCCTCTCATGAATACTTTTTTATTTCTCTGCACTGCGTTTTGAGTATTTTTTATTCCTGTCATCTATAAAAGCTCCAACTAGGTGACCTTTGGTGAGTCCGTATCATTACTTTAAGGCCATTTATATCTTCAAAGACTAATATTTTAAAACGAATTAAATTGAAAAAGTTACAATTAGGTCCAAGGAAGGGGTTTAATTACCCTAAAGTCCGTTCACAACTAAGGAACATGCAATGACAAGTTTTATTATAGGAAATGACAACTGATTTATACTGCTAACATGTTATTGAGACTTTTTAATAATTAAGTTATTGTCTTGGAACCTTACCGTAATTCTCCCAATTAAATTCCATTGACACTTTGGCATGGCGCACATAATAATCATAGTTATTGCTGCTTCGTTTCCCCCCACCACTAACCTTTCATCATGTGCAATGATTTAGCCACCCACAACTTTTGTTAATTCCAACACTCGTGGCAAAATTCAATAATGATTATATAAAAGGATCGTTTTAGCATTAGATAAAGGATATGTCATAAATATTTTTTTCCTCATGGGAGCATTCCCTATGTTTTGAGTATTTTTTTTCCCAAGTATCCATAAAAGTTTCAACTAGATGACATTTGGTGAGTCTATATCACCATTTTAAGACTATTTACATCTTTAAGGACTAATATTTTAAGAGACTTAAATTGAAAAAAATTATAATCAGATCTCAAGAAAGAAATTTAATTACCCTAAAGTCATTGACAATTGAGCATGCAATGACAAATTTCAATGCAGGAAATGATAACTGATTTATAATGTTCATTTGCGGTTGAGGCTTTTTGATGATTAAATTATTTTCTTAGAACCTTATGGTAATTCTCCCAAGATACTTTGGCATGGGGTGCACATAATAATCATAGTTATTGCCACTTCGTTTACCCCACCGCTAATCTTTCATCATGTACAATGATTTAGCCATCCACAACTTTTGTTAATTCCAACACTCGTGGCAAATTCAATAATGATTATATAAAAGGATCGTTTTAGTATGAGATAAAGGATATATCATCAATATGTTTCCCACATTAAATTAATGTATTAAATAGAGATATTATTAATAAGGTGAAATATGATTCTTTGACCAACTTCTTTATCTTCTTCCCGTGCACAGCTGAACTATGGATTACCAAATGTTTTAAAGATTTTTTTGGCCAAAAATCTTCTAAGGAATTTGGTGAAAGATTATTAATATTGTTGATTTCGTAACAATTTTCTCTTCAAAAATATTTTCATTTTTATATTTAAAATCTATCAAACACGCAACTAATGGACAAAAATTATCTAAACATATCACTAAAAAATTATGTATTTAGTTGTAAATGAAAATGATCAAAATCACATATCAAGCGTCGACAGATCATTCTGCTGTGATTGTGACTATTTAATTTCAAATAATAGAGGGGTAGGCGTAACAGTCCAGGATTATAGGCGATATCAAATGTGTAATTTTATATTTATAATAGATAGATGTTTCATAGTGGTAGGCGATAGAACTTGATCCATTTGCCTATACTTATCAACATCTGCATCACATTCTAAGTGATGCTATAAATATTTGAGAGATGAGTTAAATTTAAGGTTCTGATTCCTAGCTACGTACCACTTCCAATGGTTTTTTTTTTTTTTGGGGGAATTGCTGTGACATCTGAGGTAAGAAACAAAATATTGAAAAATTGCTCGTGATTCCCAGCTGCAATGACAAGATTTATGATAGTAAATATTTGGGAACACGTGAGTTAAATTTTGGCCTTGATACCACCTCCAATTGTTGAAAACCTTTAAATAAAGCTAAAAATAACCAATAAATTTGGCCTCATCATGATTATTACAATAATATCATGAAATCGTAATATTTTTCAATTTGACGTCAAATCTTTTAAATTAATTTCCCTTTGTTGCTGTTGCTCTTTTTTCTTTTCTTTTTTTTTTTACATATGGCTGTCTAATTTGGAGCTGATAAAACGGCTTGGCCCATTTAGACCTAAACCCATCAAAGGCCAGGTTTGGAAAAAAAATGATTTTAGGCTAGGCACGTAAAGGCTAGCCTCCGCATATATAAATATATAAACATATATTTTGATAATTATGTTTATTCATTTTTTTAATTTAGCCAGTATATATTTAAAATTGTTATCAATATATCTATGCAATTATGGATAATTTTTCTAATTCAAGATAATGATCGATTTTGATTTGGTTTAGTTTGGATTATTTAGACACTAATTTGTCACTTTAGTTTGCTAATATTTATCAATACTAAAACCTAACAATTAGAAAAAGATTAGATGCCTTGAGACTTAAAACATCATGTCAAAGTGGAAAACCCTTCCATTTGAATCTATAGCTTTCGGTGCTGTGTTTGCTAAATTAATATGTAATATTGTCGTGAAAAATTATTGATTCTTGTGAATTTGATTACAATTACCTCCTCAAAAATATTTCCATTTTTACCATGTGACAAAAATTATCTTACAAAATAACTTAAAATTTAAAACCATATAATTAAGAAAAAAAAATCCCTTAAAAAGACATTTAAATAACTCAAATTCTTATTTAGGTTATTGAATTTGTTAAAGTCCTAATCAGGTCATATGACCCAAAAAGAAGTTTTAAAATTTTATGAAATAATTCTAATGCCCTTTTCATTAGAAATCTAGAGAGATACAGATTTTTCAACATTCTCATGTTGTGTAAAAGCTTTGAATAAAAGAAAATTGATGTGATGCGATACAGCAAGCTAACTCCTCAACTTCCAATGATCCATTGCAAATCCCAACTGGACCAATCACAAGAGCAAGAGCTAAAAGAATTAAGGAAGCTTTGAGTGGGCTAGTGCAAGACACCTTGACAAAGCAAATGGCATTTATTGGAGTATCAAATCTGGATAAAAATGCTGAGGATGTCACTAATGTCATTTGGGCTGAAAATGGAGCTACTGATCATATCTTGGGCTTGGAGACTTCAATTTAAGGAGCTTGGATCAAGTACAACACATGAGAAGACTCATTTGGGCCTAATTAATCATATTTTGGGCTTGATATGCTGATTATATTTCATTAAATGCATTTGTGCGAAAATTCATAATTAGTTGGCAGATTTGACTTTTGAATTTCCAAGTTACCTAAATCAAGTCCTTATGAATTTATTATGTTTTGATTTTCTAGATTGCATTTAATGCTTTTTAGGTCAGATCTTGAATGTATCCTCTATAAGATATTGTAACCCTCATTTTGGGAGGAGATTTGGAATTTTGAATGAAAACTTGCATTTTGCAATTTCTGATTGAGAGGAGTTCTCTCTAGGGTTCTTCATTGAACTAACAGACTTATCAAGGCTTGATCAATCTTGTGGCGTCTTTCAACACTTCGGGTCCTTGTTCTTCCGTGTTCAAGGGTTCAAGCAGATCACCAGACCTTTGTTTACGTTCTTGGGGTGCGTATATTCAGATCGGTTGTGGGTTCGTGGGATTTTTCCCTTGTGGGTTCTCACCATGATGTCTACTGTTACAAAGTCAAACAATTGATCAAGGAGGCAACGGTGAGTTAGTTTTTATATTAAATCTTCTTCTTTTAATCTAGATAGTTTCATCATGACGGAAAGTTGTTAATTTAAAATTGAAACATGTAAATTGCAAAATGAAACATGTCAATTTTTAAAGTTAT